ATACAAGGGAACAATCAAGCCACATTTTTAATTTTTGTAATTTAAATTGCAATAAAAATTGTAAAAAATTCAAAAAAAGTACAGAATTTCCAACTTAAATATTTAATTAACTAAATACAATTTTAAAAATGTGCCTCGATCGATCCCTAGTACATGCTGTGGAAAATAAGAATATTTTGTCAGAATGAAAATCGAGGTAATCGTTGAGACCTAATGTTGGAATTAAAATCGTATGTTTGAGTGAAAAATAAACATTTTTTCATGATCACAATATTATATATTGACATGTGGGTGCGAGTGCTTGCGAGAGCTCTCCGCACCGCTACAATTGGCCAGCATAGACGCAACACACACTAATAATCATTTACGACTAACCCATGGATCTCGGGTGGCGACGACGAGATTAGAAATTGCCTAAATGATTCTCCTTAAATCAATGCCATTGCGAGGCCCCTTAATTGAATTGGTTATTAACTAACACTGAACATATTTTATAACATTAATTTCTGAATGAAAAATTATTTGGCTGATCTAAGTAACGAGTAAAATGGGTACTTAGTTTTTTTTGGTTTTATAATAGATACATTTACAAACTGTTTTAATGTAGTTAGTTTATGAGATACCTATTGATTTGACAAAAAATAAAATTTGTTAATAATATCAATATTAAAGTCAACTAAAACAGTTAAATGCACAAAGTCGTCATATAAAAAGTTTTGTATACAAAGCATTTATTGTGTACCTACCAGGGTTGGCACGAAAAAGCCCAGAACGAAAAAACCCGGGATGCTTTTCTGGGTTAAACCCACTTGATATTTTTAAAAAAACCCATAAAAAAACCACGGGCTACTTTTCTGGGTTAAACCTACTCATTATTTTGAAAAAAAAACCCCATAAAACCCGGGTTGATTTTCTGGATAAAATAGAAATTCAATCTTTTTTTTTTTTAGTTTGTGTTAATTTTAAGACAAATTTACCTTACTTATAGGTATTATTTATTTTTCCAATTAAGTATTAAACTACGGCATGCCACCATTGGGTGACTTCCCCCATCCCGTCAATCAAACCACACACATTACTTAGTGTATAACTTGTAAATACAGATTGTCAATATAGATTTTTGTTCATTAAAAATAAAAAAAGTATTTAACTGATTTGTAAAATATTTAATAATTTTTTTTTTTAATTAGGTACCTAGGTACAATTTAAAATAAAAAATTGAAAAAATTACACACCAACGGTCAATAGAAATGTTAACAATATTTTATATTTAATAAGGTATTAAATACGTAACTTTCCTGTAAATACTTAATGAATAATCTAAAAAAAAATGAACAATTATAATGTAAACCTATGTAGTTTTTTGAGAATTTTTAATCCTTGAGACCTACTCAGTTTCATCGATCAGCTATCTACAATATTTTTCCATATCGGTAAATCATATACGCATGGACAAATTAAAGTTATATCTATTAAAGCTTTTGGCAGAAATTAGCATAAATATGAAATTTGAATAATTTTTTAAAGTAATAATTACATAAAATATAAAACTCAGATTTAAGTAATTCAATCCAAAAACTACGAGATTTAACTGCTATGACTAGTCGAGGGCTTAAAGTTCAATAAAAAAAAAACAATACCTGTATATAACAACTAGGTATTACACCAACGAAATAAATATATAGACGATATTGAATTATAATCTTTATAGTTCGAAATCTTATACAACCATGTATAGGTACAGTATTATAAACAAATTTACAATTTAGGTATGAATAATAATGAAATAACTAATATTACTATTTGAAAACTCTGTTATAATATGACGTTTAAGTCGCAGGCACGTCCAAGAAAATAGTGATATACGGGATTCGGATGGCATTTACGTTGTGATTGAAGTTTTAGTAGCGATCAAAACCGTATCCTTGATTACTTGGACCCTGTTCAACTTGGCTGTATGGTTGTAAACGGCCACCTTGGTTGTATTGTTGTGAACGGCCACCGTATCCTGGATTATTGCCATATTGTTGTTCTGGTGCAGGATATCCACCATGTTCCGGTTGTCGGTATTCACCCTGTCTTTGATTGTTACCACGACCTTGAATTCTTCCACCTTTGGTGCCTCCACCATGTCCTTGGCTGTTACCATATTCTCGGTTGTTACCATTTCTTTGGTTGCTACCATTTTGAGGTTTTGGGTTGATCTGTTCGTGTTCTTCTTCTAAACCATATTCACCGTACTGTGGTGCACCCAGTGAGTAACCGACCAATGCAATAACCAATACAATTGACTGGAAAAGACAAAAAATGCATTTAAACAACACATTTTGTACATATAAGTTATGAAATAAATTATAGTATATTTTTTAATTTGCAGAATATATATTTTGGTAATATTAATTATATAATAATATAAATTCGTCTAAATAGGTCCGTACACTCAACTGCGAAAACCGTACGTATCGACATGTGTTGCTTGCTCCCAGATGGTTGACCACCCAGGATTTTTAGCATTAAATCCTGTCACACATGAAAAAACGTGTTCCAACCACAACCGTTCCTATATCCTCCTATAGCCTCTTAACCTTTAAAGGCATTCGTAGATTTTAAAATGTTGTATGCTTTACAAAAATTATTTAAATAAAAAATACTATATTTACTATTAAAATTTATGATATTAATTACTATATAGCAACGAGCTTAAAAGGTAATCGTGGCGTAACAATTATATTTTGAACATACCTAGTCTCATATTTTCACCTAAAATCGTATATGATCTTGGTACTAACACGGTTTTAAGTACAAGAATTATATATAACAAAATAATTTAATAAGTAGGTATTATAATATTTACCAGACAATTCATGTTGGCGAGTGAGTGTGTAGTGTTCTTTTCACAAGATGAGTTCAGCGAACGTTGGAGGACTGTTGGCAATCTTCGGGTTGCGACTTATGATCGTTCGTCGGACGTGCGCTGTCTTATAAAGGGAGTCTACGGACGGGCTTTTCCAAGAGCGAGTATATTATGCATATACATACGCTGTCATAAAATATATTGTGTATCATGATTTAATGACCTACCGAGGTTAATCTAGTACAGTATAAGCCTACGGTTTTTCCCGATAAATATAGACGTAACGTTATCATAGAAATTGTGGCCGTGGTAGTAATAAAAAATAAGTTTAACGAGTCGGTGTAGCAGTAACCACCAACACTGGTGTAACGTTCGCGTATTTTTGGGTTTTCCGCAGACCGATAGCGAGTGCGTCTCCCTTACTCACGGCTATCTCTCTTTCTCAATTTCTCTGTATCACTAACACACACTGACACTTTATGCAAAGGTCGAAGATCTGTGGTGGTAGTTGATTATATTCTGTATAATATAACACGCTTTTAAATTTCGAACTACACACTGCACTTTTTGTTCTACACACAATTTTATGGACTGTATAGTAATATTATAGCCCGACTGATTGTCTTCGCCAAAAACGTTTTTTTTATACAATGATATTATATCATTAAATTCAAATTTTATACTATCCATTATAGACTATAGTGATCCAATGATAGTGATACTGTACAGCAGATATACACCAACTTGATAACCTTTTTTTGTTGGAGCACCCCCTGTTAAAATATTTTAGATCCGCGCCTGACATCGTTGAATTAAAGAAGGATTTTTCTTTTATCTCTCGTATATTATATTAATGTAAATTTGACCAAATATGTAACTAATAATGAAAGAAATTTTTTTTATCGATTTACAACACTAGGTAAATTCTTAATATTAATTATTTATGATAAGTATATACATTTTTAGTAGAATCTATATTATTATGTGATGGATTAGTTGTATGGGATATTTCTTTTGACGTGTATATTCATAAACTATTAATGTTACAATAAATTCATTATTGAGATTTATATTAAAAAAACCATAATATTATGGTTATGGTGATGTTTATATAAATATCAAAAATATAACTATTTTATCTAGATTTTATATTTATAGTGTTTTTTTCATATTGTTTTGATAAAAATATTGATGCTTATAAACTTAAACATCACTATCACACAAGATTAAAGGATGGCGTAAACATTAATAGACCGGTTAATAAGAAATTGTACGGTGAAAAAAATATATTATGTACATAATATTATGTTAGTCTATCAAGACTAATAAATCTTATATATCTACTTTTTATATAAAGAAACATTTAATATTTTGTGTATTAAGATTTATTTTATATGCTACACTAAACTTGGCATATAGTAATTATTGAACATTTATTTTAAGATTTTGCATGCATTTTTAGTATTGTTTTAAATTATGTTTAATTTCCATTGTTTAACTTTCTTTTAAATTGCTGCTCCCTTTCACAAGCTTGTTTTTCTGGGACAGCTCCATCAGAGTACCTACTATTTGTTTTGGAATTTATTTTCATTGAATATTGTATAATTTGCACCTACTTTGAAATATATGATGATTCAGTAATAGAATCAACTATCACCACGGATCTTCGACCTTTGCATAAAGTGTCAGTGTGTGTTAGTGAAATAGAGAAATTGAGAAAGAGAGATAGCCGTGAGTGAGGGAGACGCACTCGCTATCGGTCTGCGGAAAACCCAAAAATACGCGAACGTTACACCAGTGTTGGTGATTACTGCTATACCGACTCGTTAACATTATTTTTTATTACTACCACGGTCACAATTTCTATGATAACGTTACGTCTATATTTATCGGGAAAAACCGTAGGCTTATACCGTTCTAGATTAACCTCGGTAGGTCATTAAATCATGATACACAATATATTTTATGACAGCGTATGTATATGCATAATATACTCGCTCTTGGAAAAGCCCGTCCGCAGACTCCCTTTATAAGACACCGCACGACCGACGAACGATCATAAGTCGCAACCCGAAGATTGCCAACAGTCCTCCAACGTTCGCTGAACTCATCTTGTGAAAAGAACACTACACACTCACTCGCCAACATGAATTGTCTGGTAAATATTATAATACCTACTTATTAAATTATTTTGTTATATCTAAGTCTTGTACTTCAAACCGTGTTAGTACAAAGATCATGTGCGATTTTAGGTGAAAATATGAGACTAGGTATATTCAAAATATAATTGTTACGCCACGATTACCTTTTAAGCTCGTTGCTATATAGTAATTAATATCATCCGTATCATAAATTGTATTAATAAATATAGTATTTTTAATTTAAATAATTTTTGTAAAGCATACAATATTTTAAAATCTACGAATGCCTTTAAAGAAGTTTCAATATTTCTCTGTAGTATCTTGAACCTAAGTCATAATGTTTTAATGTATGTTACCTAACCGGGCTAACCTATCAACGAATAGATTTTCAACATTTTTTTTTATTTAAATGTTTTGAATCACTTCTCATTTTGTACGATCTTTCTACAATGGCAGTGAAATTTAAATCACCTATACGACCCACTGGTCCAACAACCATAGAAGCAATTACGGAAGCCACAAATAAACAAACTGTTCCCTCGACCATTTCAATATTGTCTCTATATTGTTTTGCTATCCGTATGAATCACAATCTGAAATTGTGACTGTGAAATAAAAGTATTTAAAACAATAAAAGTTTACGCACGTTTTTGGTGTTTTATTGATCCCTTATAATTTTATAGTTATTTTAGTGTGTTAAAGATTTTACTGTGTAATATAAATAATACTTTTTTTTTCTTGAACAAAAATTTATATTTACAATCTATATTTACATGTAGTACAATAAGTAAATGGGATGTGGGTTGATTAGCTGGAGGGGGAAGTCACCCAATGGTGGCACCCGAAATTATACTCAGAGAATTATAATTTACTATAATAATAATAATATTTTATAATGTTTCAAAATGAAATAGTATTGAATAGTATTAATTTTTATTTTTAATAATTATATTACTACTTATGTAATCCGTACATTATTTTTACGATTTAAAGTACTTTATCTTCTAGAGGCTATAGGAACGGTTGTGGTTGGAACACGTGTTTCATGTGTGACAGGATTTAATGCTAAAAATCCCGGGTGGTCAACCATCTGGGAGAAAGCAACACAGGTTGATACGTATGGTTTTCGCAGTTGAGTGTACGGACCTATTTAGACGAATTTATATTATTATATATTTAATATATTTATATTATTATATTATATTGCATTATAAGAAAACAACGTATACTCCTATATTGCTGAATAATATACCCACTATAAATAAGTACCAGAATATCTATTCTGCAAATTAAAAATTATAATATAATTTATTTTATAACTTAAATGTACAAAATGTGTTGTTTAAATGCATTTTTTGTCTTTTCCAGTCAATTGTATTGGTTATTGCATTGGTCGGTTACTCACTGGGTGCACCACAGTACGGTGAATATGGTTTAGAAGAAGAACACGAACAGATCAACCCAAAACCTCAAAATGGTAGCAACCAAAGAAATGGTAACAACCGAGAATATGGTAACAGCCAAGGACATGGTGGAGGCACCAAAGGTGGAAGAATTCAAGGTCGTGGTAACAATCAAAGACAGGGTGAATACCGACAACCGGAACATGGTGGATATCCTGCACCAGAACAACAATATGGCAATAATCCAGGATACGGTGGCCGTTCACAACAATACAACCAAGGTGGCCGTTTACAACCATACAGCCAAGTTGAACAGGGTCCAAGTAATCAAGGATACGGTTTTGATCGCTACTAAAACTTCAATCACAACGTAAATGCCATCCGAATCCCGTATATCACTATTTTCTTGGACGTGCCTGCGACTTAAACGTCATATTATAACAGAGTTTTCAAATAGTAATATTAGTTATTTCATTATTATTCATACCTAAATTGTAAATTTGTTTATAATACTGTACCTATAAATTGTTATATAAACGATAAAAAGTATATATATATGTATATGCATTCGTAGATTTTTAAATATTTGATTGCTTACAAAAATTATGTCAATAAAAAATATTCAAGTGTACTATATTTATTATTTAAATATATAATTAGTATGATAATAATTACTATATTATAAGAACGAGCTTAAAAGGTAATCGTGGCTTTACAATAATATTTTGAATACACCTACTCTGAAATATTCACCTAATATCGTATAGGTACCTACTGTCTTTATACTAAAACGGTTTTAAATACAAGTCGTATGTATAACCATATAATTTAATAGGTATGTAGGAAGTTATTATAATATCTACCAGACAATTTATGTTATGAGTGAATGAGTGAGTGAGTAGTGTTTTTTCACAAGACGAGTTCATCGAACGTTGGAAGACAGTTAACAATCTTCGAGGTGCGACTATGATCGTTCGTCGGACGTGCACCATCTAATATAATTTATAACATGTATGTATAATATAATTATTATACGTGATAAATTATATAAATTTGTTTATAATTTATAAACAAAGTCTGCGGACGGGCTTTTGCACCCACGAGTATATTATGCATGTGCATAGGTACTGTTATAAAATATATTGTGCATCTTGATTTAATGACCTACCGAGGTTAGTCTAGTACGGTATACGCCTACAGTGCATCCTAACCTTTTCCCCAATAATGTTCTTGTATTGTAAGTGACCTATAAAAGGTGGCCGTGGTAGTAATAATGTCGAAGTGTCGGTGCGGTGGCGTGGTGGCGGTGGTGGTTGTAGCAGTAATCACTAACGCTGGTCATCTGCATTTCTGTACCACAGAAGTAAACTAGCGCAAGTCACAAAAAGCAAATTTTACAGGAGAGACAAAACAAAATATTTGTTGCAATGGACTTACCATTGTATACTTCAAAAATATTATTATGTATTATATGTATATATCATTTACTTATGTAAACGCTGGACATACGTTTCTATACTCCTATCATAGTTTAGGACTTACGTTAGTATACTTCTTGCTATTTATGCATTTATTTTATATAGGACTTACGTTTTGATACCTTTAATAATATCACAAAAAGCATATTCTGATTATATAACTAACTCAAAATTTCAAAAAAAGGACTTGCGTTAGTTTACTTCTGTGGTACAGATTTGTTCTGTTGTGCATAGACGACGTCACGACGATGATAACATCACTATCGTTGTTGTTTACACGTTGTTTTCTTATTAATAGTTATTATCATATTAATTCATCAATTTATCGACTGACTTGTGCGTGTGGCATACGGCGACGTTTTCAAATTTTAGCGAGTGCTGTCTCCCTCACTCACGGCTCTCTCTCTAACTCTATCTTCTCACTCCCTAGCTCTACTACACAAACACAACCTGATACTCTTTGCAAAGGTCGAAGATCCGTTTATCCGTTGTGATAATTGATTCTGGTCGAGACGAAAAAGCATATTATACAATTAATATATGTAGGAACAAGGTACATAATAATATAGTATATATTGTATAATAAGCGGTGGTGGACTTTACGATTGAGATCAAAAACAGAAATAAAACAACAACTTTATCTCAATCTTTATAATAGTAGGTACTAGGTACATATAAATTAATATACTATAGGGAAATATTAATACTATATTATATTAATACTAATTTAATCTATCACTTCTTCGTCTGTCCTCTGGACGACCTTCGCGATATTTTCGGAGAAAAAAACTGAGAATTTACCCATAATTTATTACATGCATATTGCATATATTATCATAGGTCTTGCATCCGCCCGTGAACAACAACAGTAGTAATAATAACATCGTAATAATAATTGTGTTATTCAGTTGTATAATATACTATATAGTATATACTAATAAAGACTATAATAGGTGCATGGCTACTAAAATTTTGTTTTGTTACTATAATAATTTATATTCTTTTATAACCTCGTCGTTGATTTTTAACACATCCTTTATAAAAGATGTATACATAATATAATATCGTATACGATTTTGCGTTTTTAATTCTCCTGGATTAAACAAAAATCTAGCCGTATTATAATATAATAATTTTTATAATATTCATTTATTAATTATTATTGAATCGTTATCAATTACGAAGTAGGTACAAATTATACAATACCTATTCAATGAAAATAAATTTCAAAACAAAAAAACAAATAGCAGGTACTTTGATGAAGCAGTTCCAAAAAACAAACTTGTGAAAAGCAATCAGTGAGTTCAAAAACAGTAATTTATATATCGTCGGCCTAATTCGCAAAGGTCGTATGTCCAAAATTACAAATTGTTCAGGAGAAGAAAAAAACGTTTTACGGCCATATTATTAATTGGAGATACGACGATTTCTAATTATCAATTTCATGGAGGATAATATTATGAAATCGGAAATCTGATTGTATCAACAGACGCAGTTTTTTTTTCTTTATTTTATGAGTAAATAATCCCAAAATGACAAAAAAATGGAGATACGACTTTTGCGAATTAGGCCGACGATATATTAAACTGAAATCAAGCAAAATAGGAAATCTTTGTTACGGTTTGGCTTCGAAACTTCTTATCAAATTGCCATGCAGTTTTTTTTTAAATGAAAGAGGATATCACGGAGCAGGTTTTAGGCATAAATAAAGTCCGATAATGTTAGTCAATAATTAGTTATCTATACATATAAAATCCAAATACCACTGACTCACTGATCGCTGTATCTCAAAAACTACTCAACGTACGGACTTGAAATTTGGAATAGAGGTTCTTCTCATATTTGCACCGTGCAATTAGAAAAGATTTTCAAAAATTTTGCGTTTTAGTGTAGTAATTAACGATTATAATTATTCACTGCCAATACGTATTGTGCGACACTGCGGCCCACGGGTTTCCAGCTACCTGTCACCTATCATTTTTGTTCGTCGTCGTCGTCGTGTAGATAAGAATAATGATTCCGAGAATAAAATTGTTCCGAGAAGTTTATCGTTAAAATAATATCATGCATCGTGCGTACACCAATTAATATTAATATTATAAACGCGAAAGTTTGCGACTTTGTTACTCTTTCACGTAAAAACAACTGGACCGACCTTGATCAAATTGTTACACGGTGTGTATTTTGATCCAACTTATAACATAGGCTAATTTAAAAAAGGAGAGGACCAACCCCGGGAGGTGCTCAAAGGGGAATTTTGAGATTTCAGATGGAAATTGTTATTTGTAAATGGTTATACATAAATAATAATAATGATAAAAAAAAAAATTATTTTATTTTATTTTTAAATATAAATTATATTTAATGGGATTAAATAAATTGATTATTGAGTAAAAACGACAAACTTGGTATAACTTTGATACTTTAGAGTTAAATCATACACTTCCGTACAAACAGCACGGGGTCCGCGATCTACCGCAGGTACATTGCCTACCTGATAATGCGTACTGCTGCGATTCAGAATTTTTATTCCGGGCAACGGAAAAGATAAGATACATTTTGAACACCATACACCGAATATTGAATAACGAATTGAACAAAGTTTGAGTCATATTGAGTGGATACATTTAACGGGCGACGAAGTGCACGGGATCAGCTAGTATACAATATAAATTAAACATAATTTAAAACAATACTGAACATACATGCAAAATTCAAAATTAAATAATTACTAAATGCCAAGTTCAGTGTAACATATAAAATAAAACTTAAGTCATAAAATATTTAAATAGGTAATTTAAAAATGTTTTTTATTATAAAAAGTAGAGATAAATATCAAGATTTAATCGTCTTAAGAGTTTAACATATTATGTACATGAAATATTTTTTCACAAGACACCACAACATGATAACTATATTATAGTTTTTTCGATATAGATCTCAATAATGAATATATATTGTAACATTAAGTTTATGCATATATACGTCAACAGAATTATCCCATAATACTAAACCATAACAATAATATAGATTGTACTAAAGATATATTATGTATCAGTGGCGGCGTGAAATCGTGGAGGCTTTGAAGCATATTGTATATTTTAAAATGTTTTACCACCGCACCCTTCATTGAACCAAATTAACAGTAGGGGCCATTAATAATTATTAATTACAATATTTTCCATGATATTCGTGTTGAGGTCTTACCATTATATATATATTCATACACCCACCCACCCATTTCAGACATGAAGCAATTGCTTCAAATAATCTTATATCCCGCCTCCACTGTTATGTATAATATACTAATCGTAAATAATTAATATTAAGAATTTCTCTTAGTATCTTAAATCGATATAAAAATATTCTTACTGTATTAGTAACGTATTCAGTCTATAAATCTCACCTGAGATGCTGATAAAAAATGATTGCTAAATATTTGGTCGAATTTACTTATTTACATAAATAATTTTATCACGTACCTACACAATGTTTTAAACATCTTGTCACAAACATGTTTAAAATATGAACATTTGTTTTAAACATTTTGTTCGTTGTTTGAAACGAACAAAACAAATATGTTTAAAAAAGTGTAAAATCCAAGTGAATATTGTGTTATTTTTTTTGATTTATAATTTATAATAAATAATTATAGAATAGATATCCTTAAAAAAAAGTCTTATTATTAAATAATCATTAATTTTAATTTTTTTTTTAAATTTTATTGAATAAACTACCAAATTTAAAATGTTTTTATTTAATAGTTAATATTACCATAATATATATAATATAAAACATAAAATATCTATTCAGAAAATATTCCAAATACTTTTAAGATTTAAGATAAATAATAAATAAATAGTGAAACATGTACTAGTACACTGCATATTGGGGTACAAGTAAATTACATATTATTTTAAGTTATTTTAAATATACTGTTATAAATTTTTTAAAGTTCAAACAGTTTATTTTGTTTAAAAAATCGTTTTTAACAGTTTGAAACAGCTTAAAACAAAAAATACAGTTTTATTTTCAAAAATGAAAAAATACACCAACTCCGATTATTACAGCCGACTAATGTACCCGTGCATATATAGCTAGTTGTATTTTCGGTTAAACGTGTTGTGGTTATCCTTTGTCACTATTCTTACCTTATAGGTACCTAACTTTGTTTAAAAATACCAATTTATAACAACGAAAATATAGTGTAATATCATTAAACATAATATATCATTAATCATAATTAATGATTAAAAATAAACAATAAACGCATACTTATGTAACAAAAAAAAATTGGAAATAACGTTTGTGCTTTTTTTTAAGTTGAACTTAACATTAAGGCGGCGGCGTACGCGTATCTTTCGGTTTTTATATCAGACTGACAGGGAGTGCTGTCTCCCTCCCATTCTCTGCTCTTTATCTCTCTCCCACTATTTCACAAATACATTCAAGCCCTAATCCGTGGTGATAATTATTCAGGTAGAGGCAGAAAATCATATTATACAATTAGTATAATATATAGGTACATATAATATTGTATATATACGGTTGTGGTCTTTGCGATTTAAATCAAAAACTTAAGTATAAAATCAGCTTTATCACATCATTATACCTAATATATTATACCTAGTCAAAGGTGGGCAATAACTGGTTAAAAATTTAATTATTTTAGTTTTCAACTTATTAACTTATTCAGTTAAAATTTGTATTGGTGTAACTTAACTTTGTTTAGTTATTTATGATTGTCGTGCAGTTAATTTAATTTTCGTTTAAAATCATACTGAACCAGCTAGACAATATACTGATTCGTTGAATCTTTTTAGATTTTGGTCATTAATTTTCTAATTATATAACATAATAATTAAATTTTTTATACAGTGTTAAAATAGTCTTGGAAAATATCTGTGTAAATCAAAATACTAGGGTTGTTTATGACATAAAAATATTGTAACTTGAAAAAAAAAATGTTAACTTTTAAGTTTTAACTGAATGCAATTTAATTTAATTGACTTAACTTGCCACAGTTAATTAGGTATTTTCATGAACTTGCCAACCTTTGATATTAGTATAGGTACCTACATAATATTACAATATACCTTAGATAATATAATTCTTTTAGACCTGTGTCCCGAAAGTTTGAAGCACATATTATTAGCAACAATAGTCTCTGTATTGGACAAATAAACTGCGCATAAACGAAGAGAAATGTGCATTTTTTTTAAATTTGAAATGACCAATAGGTAGCTAAATATTGCTACGGTTAGTCTTACGCATATGCACATCAAGCATTCAATACTGTAGTGCTCAAATGTGTGAGTCAAATTATGATTAATATTTAATACAATTTATTAATAATATTTTCCGATAGTATAGGTATACTACTTTGATCAAATAAACTAAATGTATGGATCCATGACTAAATAAACAGGCATGTCAGCAAAATAGTTATTCGCATAAACTGTGCCCCCCCCTCATGAATAAACGAGTTAATCATTAGTTCTGTATCAACGCCCAAATGTATTTGGGATGTAAAATATCGTTTATTCCAAGTCAGTCTCTTCAATTCAGTCACATATATATATATATAACTAGTAGTTATTTATATATTATGCAATGATATAGGAAAAATACGAGGGTTTGACCACATGCCTGTTTCTTTAGTCATGGCTACCATCCGTATTACAATCGGAAAATATAAATAGTAAATTGTACTATATATCAACCATTATTTAAACTCTCACTTCATCGTCTTTGTCCATTGAACGGACTTCGCAATATTTTCAGTGAAAAAAACTGAGAATTTAGTGTCTGATTTTACTCATGTTGTATAATTTATTACGTTCACACTGTATCATGGACGCCGCTTCTCCCCCCTCTAACATTTTTTCTATTGATATAATTTTTATTATTTATACAAATTATATGATGATCGTATCTATTAATATTAATGATAAATAACAACAAACAATACCTGTATAATATAACAACTATAAATATTATACCAATTTGTTATCATCAATCATAAAAATTTAGCAAAAAAATGTACACTATGCCCCTCCAATAAGCGTATAGCTTGTGTTTGGAGTGAAACGAATATGTAGCCACTGGCTATATAATATAGCTAATAGTATTAACTATATATATTATATAATAACAACTAATAATACGAGTCGTAACTCGTAATTATTTCATATCTTTATCGATAACCCGTAATTTATAAATAAAAACAAAATTAGCTATCAGTCTATACCTATCACAATTCACAATATATTATATTCTTATAATCTCATCCATCGGCTTAGTTCTAATCGACAGTCGCATTTAATATTTTGTCATTTAGTTATTATTCTCTAGTCTCTACAGTGCACTTGCGTCTGTCAAATAAAGATACCTACTGTTTCCCAGCAGGGCCACTACCGGTTGGGACACAGATCGGCGTCTGAAGCATCCTGCTATTACAATGTCGGACGCTGCAGGAAAACCTTACCTTACGTAAAATATTATACTGTATTCAATAAAATTTGAAAAAAGAATATTAGATTTTTTCAATAAAAAAGAAACAGAACCACCTACTATTCGTATTTTTTCAGCCTTTTTAAGAATCATTAAGTTGCAGTTTTATACAAACATATGTAATAAACACAGATATACTTGTTATAAGTACTGTTCAAATTAATAGTAACGAAAAAATTAGTTTTAGTGTTAGTGTACGCAGAATTATACTATAATATACCGATGAAAATAGGTATTTATAATAGTGCTGATATCTAACACTTTTAAAATTTGATTGATCAAACAAAAGTTGTTGAATAAATCGCGTAAATAACGTACTATATATTATTATGTATAATAATATACATTTAATATGCCTACTATAGTGTAGGGGACCTCTTCCTCCGGTCAACGATTGTTCCGAACTATCGATTACTTAAATCCAGTAATACAATTTTTTTTTTTTTAAGAAAAATGTTTAATTGGTTGAGTTATAATCTTTACAATTCGAAATCTCATGTAATAATGTATAGGTTCGATATTATTAAGTAAATTTACAATTTAGGTATAAATAATAGTGAAATAAATAATATTATTAGTCGACAACTCTATTATAATACGACGTTTAAGTCGCAGGTACGTCCCATAAAATGGTGATATAGGGGATTCGGATGACATTTACGTTAGGATTGAAGTTTTAGTAGTTTCCATGATGATTTGAGTTATGACCACCTTGTCCTTGATGATTTGAACCATGACCACTTTGTCCCTGATGTTGTGAACCATGACCAGGGTGTCCGTGTTGTTGTGACCCTTGACCACCTTGTCCGTATTGTCCGTGTTGTTGTGAACCGTGTCCTTGATTATTGACATATTGACTTCCTTGTCCATGTCCACCATGTTCCTGTTGTTGGTATTCACCATGTCCTTGGCTGTTACCATATCCTTGGTTGTTACCATATCCTTGGTTGCTACCATGTCCCTGGCTTCCATTGCTACCATGTCCACTGCTACCATGTCCACTGCTACCATGTCCCTGACTTCCACTGCTACCATGTCCCTGGCTTCCACCACTACCAAATCCCTGGCTTCCACCGCTTCCGTGTTGTAAACCACCACTGTGGCTACTCTGTTGGTATTCGCCTTGATTACCATTATTTTGTGATCCACTCCCGTAGCCTGGTGCACACAGTGAGTAACCGACCAACGCGATAACCAATACAATTGACTAGAAAGAACAATAAATGAATTAAAATAACAATTAATTGAGTACCTAGTTAATCAATAGATAACAGTTGTACGTATAAGTTATGAAATATATAGTAAAGAACAGATGTACTGGAACCTATTTATAGTGGCTATATGCCTATATTATTTAGCAATATCGGAGTATATACGTTGTTTTCTCATATATAAGCATATAAATGAAAAATAATCACCGGGTAACAATAATAAACAATAGGTAACATCAGATACAAGGTGATAATACTTTTTTAATAATTAGAGCGAAAAAATGTTCTGCACTGATAGTTAAATAAAAACAATAATATTATTTAATGAGCCTTATTAGTCGTTTAAAAAATTGAACTTGGTACCTAAAGGTTATATAGATAGCTGATAGCTCGGCAATGAAAGAAAAATTGTAAATACTATTAGTTATTAGAATATGCATTGATAAGTAATTGAATGCTTCATCATATTTTATTCTTATTTCATTTAAAATCAAAATAACAATGTTATAAGTACTTTAAAATCTAAAAAAAATGTACAGACTACTTATGTAGTAATATAAATATTAAATCAATTCTTAGTATAAAGTAAAATAACTCAAATAGGTACCAGAATTTTTTACAAATATAAAATTAATAATGATAGTATTTTTATAATTTTTAAGAATAATAATAAGAAGAACAATAATTTTAAATATATATTGGAATTTTATATAATAAATTATTGTTTATGTTTCAGAATGAATTTTCAACTAACAATTGATTGTTAAAAATAAATCCGCCAAATGTATAATGGTTTAATTTTTTTCTGAAAATGAATTATTTTGTTAAAATTCAATTATTTTAATAATTAACGAATATTATTATATAATGAATACTTAAAAAAAATATTCCTAAGTACCTATCACACTGAACTTAAATACTATTTCATTTTGAAACATTATAAATTATTTTACTAGCATAGGCGTGTTCAGACTTTGATGGCCGAGGGGCATAACACATTTTTAAATCGTGAGATCTATTTTTTTTCTTTTATACAAGAAGAAACATTTATTTTTTATATTAAGTGGCCTGCGCGCGACCTGTTTTTTGCTCATAAACATGCCTTACAGGAAAAACTCTCAAGCCTCGTAGATTGGTCCGATTTCGGTAATTTTTTTTTTCTTAGATAGAGTAAGACTTTAGAGGGTGCATTGGACGATTTTCAAAATTATTTTTCTAAATCTTATATTATAAGTTTGAATTTAACCCATTTTTACAACTTTTTAGTTTTTATATTATTTTTTGTTTTTAGCAACTTAATGAAAAATCGAAGTCCAATGCGCTCTGTAAAAAACATTCCTCTATCAAACGAAAAAAAAATTATGGAAATCGGACCAATCTAAGAGATGTGAGAGTTTTTCCTGTAAAATGTGTTTTGATCGATATAATACGCCCTTTAAAGGTAGCAGATTAGTGGAAAAGTATTATAATTGAGGTGGCAACTAAAATATAAAATTTAATTTTCAAATTTTATAAAATTTCGGAAAAATTTAGAATTGGAACCAGGACCCTCAAGAAACTGGCAATGATTGGAATATTTTTTAACTGTGACCAAAAAGTATACTCATTGGAGTGTCAAAACAATAAAAATACATTTAAAACTAAAATAAAAACACATATATAATATAGTAAATTGTTGAAAAAATAAATAAAGTTTTTATATTCTTCTCTCATATGGTTTTAATACTTTAACAGACGCAACGACATCTTCTATGTTTATACTACTATCAAATTCTTACTCGATACTGATGTTTATAAACTATAGTACCATCTAACCTGTGATATGTATATGTTAAGTAGTTATAAACAATTGATGAGCTTATATAATAATATAATCACTAATTATTAATGGGTAGGTACCTAAGTCAAATGGCAATAAAATGTTCCATTATTTGTGTGCAGCAATAAAACAACATTACAACATTACAAAATATAAAACGAATAATCAAAATGTACAGGTAAGTGCTGAGTACAACAGACCACACGAATTTTTTTTTCCCGGGCATGATTTTGTTGGTGGCACAGTCTATCCCTTTGGTAAGTGCTCACACGGCCCCTCCCGTAAACACGCCTATGATTAGTAATATATTTTGTATTACAAAGTAAAAATCTTTAACACAATGAAATAACTATAATATGAAGGTTTAAATAAAACGCCAAAAACGTGCATGGTGTACAATAATTATTGATTTAAATGATTTTATTCAGTCACAATTTCAGTTTGTGATTCAAAAGGATAGCAAAACATTATCTTTATTGCTACAATAATAAAAGTTGTATTTATTATTAAGAACTACTTTTAGTATATTATTTTGTTTTCATTTTTATCGATATAAATATATACTGTAAAATTGTGTATGATTAATGAATTAATATTGTAACAGACTATCTACTCTTACTAAGAGCTATATTGCTTATAGAGAGTAGATATCAACTTTAAATGTAAATATTATTATGAAGAAGTTGATATGAATTATTATTGTTACTATTATATATACAAAACTGAAATGGTCGAGGGAACAGTTTGTTTATTTGAGGCTTCCGTAGTTCTATGGTTTTTCGATCGTATTAGGTGATTTAATTTTAACTGTCCAGGTATCGACGACGAGGATCGTAGAAAATGAAAAATGATTCAAAACATATGAATAAAATAAACGTTAAAAACATATTCGTCGATAGGTTAGGTTAACTTTTTTAAAGGCATTCGTGGATTTTTAAATACTTATTTTATGTTTAACAAAAATTAATTAAATAAAAAATATTCAAGTATACTATATTTATTTTTAAAACTGATTCCTAGGGTTTTAATTGCCATATAAGAACGATCCTAAAAGGAAATCGTGGCATAACAATAATATTTTGAATATACTCGGGTATTTTCTCCTAAAATCATATACGTGCTTGGTACTAACACGGTCATGTTAGGTACAAGTCGCATATATAACGATATAATCTAATAAGTAAGTACTATTATATTTACCAGACGATTCATGTTGGAGAGTGAGTGTGTTGAGTTTGTTTTGCAAGACGAGTTGAGCAGACGTTCGAAGACTTTTAGTAATCTTCGGGTTACGACTGTGATCGTTCGTCCGACTCGCACCGTCTTATAAACGAATTCTGCTGACAGGTTTTTCGCACGCGCCAGACATTATAATGCATATACATAATATTATGCTATTATAAAATACAATCGTGTATTATGATTTAATGACCGGCCGAGGTTAATCTCGTACCAACGGTATACGCCTGTCCGAATCTATTTCCCGATAAATATACACGTATTATTATCATATAAATCGTGGCCGTGGTAGTAATAATAATGGTGATGAGACGGTGGTGGTGTTGGTGGAGGTGGTGGTGGTGGTGGTGGAGGTGGTGGTTGTCTATGCAACCTCTCGGGCTATATTTTATAATATTTTAAAGCGAGTTATGAGTATTTTAAGATGTACAATAACAGTTTGCAATTTTAAAATACTTGTAATCGCTTTCAAATTAAAATATAATAAAATGCCCATTAAGATGCCCAGATAATAATCTTACCTTTGGATTTTTATATGAGGTCAATTCACTAACATGTTACGCACATGTAAGACGGAGACAACACAGTATGCTGGTATCGAGGCCTCTTAAGATAATAATATCATATTAATTTATAGACTGGCTACGCGTATTTTTCGGATTTTCTGTCGGTCTTAACGTATAAAACGTAAGGTTAAAATATACAATTTGAAAAGAAATACAGCGGAATTGTGTCTCTACTCAATAGGGATGCCAATTAAACTTTTTGAAAGGTATGCTAATCACTGTAGGAAGGCCCAAAAAAATGTTCTGCTGTTCAATATATTATTGAATACTACAGAGTTATTACAAAAAATAAATGTTTTCTCACTATGCTCGAAATTTTGAATCTTTATATTTTCCATGTAAAATCTAATATATTATGAATATTGTATACCTAATAATACTACAGAGTTATTACAAAAAATAAATGTTTTCTCACTATGCTCGAAATTTTGAATCTTTATATTATCCATGTAAAATGTAATATATTATGAATATTGTATACTTAAAAATACTGAATACCTACTAAGTTAGTACTTGAATATTTATATACACTATTATGCTTAGAAACATTGTATTTTTTTTCCAAAATAACGGGCCCCACTGAGAGAGCTCGTGCGGGATCCCAGGACTTCCAAATTACATTATAAGTACGTAAATAGTGTACGGTACCTATATAAAACAAATCCTGAAATGCTCAATCGAAAATCACACATAAAATATTTTATGCAAACCAAACATTTTTATATTTTATTTGATCATACATTAATAATAATATCATATAGCCGCATAGTAGCCGATATTTAAGACCAATTAAAAAAAGACAAAATTATAAGTCCAAAATACAATATTGATAAATTCTAGGTATTCATTAGCATACCCTGTGGCCTGTAACACCTCATAATATGACACCCTTTCTACTCAGTCTGATGTATAGAAGTTCTTGAACGTATTTCGATTTTCGAGTGTGCCTACAGCTTACCATATCGTGGAGTAGGTAATTGAAATAGTGTAATGAATGTGTTAAATTTTAAATCAATAATAAATTGTTGCAAACGAAAAACGATCCTCCCCAGAGATTATACAAACTATATTATCGCAATACCGCCACTATTTTTAAGGACATTTTATAATTTACTATATGACTATTGGTCATTTCTATGTCTATTAGTATTATCTATGGAACTAATTTTTGTTAAAAACATAGCGTGTAATACTTATTATACAATACCAAATAGTTATTATAGTATTAAAATTATAAGTTAATACCGACTTACCGTTTAATAGCATGAATATAATATAACTAGCACAATCTCAGTAAAAGTAATTTTAAAAATTAATTGTGTATTTGTGTATCCATAATATAAAATAGTAATATAGGTAATATACCAAAGTTTGCATCTTTAAGATTAGTTATAAATAAAAGTAATATGTTCAAATATATACGATTTCGTCAGAACACAAATTATCAATATATAAAATATTATGTCTATACTGCATAATACCATTCAGTGTATATTGTTAATATGTAGATATTAACTATATTTTTAAGATTATGTAGCTTAATAATATTGTTAGAACAACTTAATAATATGAAGAACCTAGTATTTACATTAACCTATTAGAAATAAAAATATTATGAATTTTTTATTATTTTAAAAAATCTAGTTATTTGTAGTTTTTTCTAATGTTGTCAAACTTCTTATTTCAAATGCTTATATAAAAAAAAAAATCGAAACAAATATATTATTTTAAATATCACAAGAATAAATTATAAGGAACCTTGTATTATCTTGTATCGTGGTTTTTTACTTAAAAACATTTTTCTATTAACTTACACAAAAAGATCCAAATATTTTTGAAATTATATTTAGGTATCATGCAAAGATTCTGCTAAAACAATTAATATTTTTTAAAAATAACAATTATCGTTATTCAATTTTGTATTACAACAAATCTGATCTTGTTAAGCACTGGTAATAACTTAGGTTAAACATAATTTTAATTTTTAATATTATTATTTTTCCATTTACTTTAATTTTTTGACTCTTTTGATGAATCAACTTGATGCAATTGTCCACCAGAAACCAACTTCAATGTTGAAGTTAGAAGCATTTTCATTACTCTAAAAGGTGATGATGGACGATGACACTAACAAAATTTTAAATAATACTCACCTACATCATTGTACCTAAATCCAATATATTCATCGTTCCTTTCAGAATCTATCATAAATAAGGCACTTACTACATTTAATTGTATTAAATAATGATTTTATAGTAGCTCATTTGTTTCATAATAATTTTTCTCAATAAATCAATAAAATATTTCAAGTTATTTCATAAAACATCTATTGTGGCATTAAAATATCTCCTTTTATAATGTCTTCAATATAAGTTTGGTAAACATATAATGTAATAAATTTTATTCTAACTTCATTGGTTAAACATAAACAGTTAATATTTAAATATTCCCATTGTTATTTTATTTTTTTTCAAAATATAAATTTGTGTCTGTAAAATGTAGAACATTGGCAAATGGCAACAACCTATACTCGTATTTTGTTTTTTAACGTCTTCTATAACTTGAAAAATCAGGTTTTAATACGGAAGAGGGTTTTTCGTATTAACGACGTTATATTATTAATAATTATAAAAATAAAATGTACAGTTATAAAATTGTATACACAACACTGATAAATACTAACTGACAACTGTAAGTGTTGAGACTTCAAATAAAATGGATAAATTCATGTTAACATGTGAAATGTCTTGACGATTTGGTTAGGTATATTAAATATTTTAAATTAATCTTTTTTTTTAAATATTTAATATGTATTAACAATAACGAGGTTATAAGTGGATTCAAATGTATAATTCATATTATATTATATAACTTATCCACTTCGTCTTTCATGCGTCATTCGGTGGTTGTACTCATTTAGGTAATGCGTTTTTTATGTACAAACTAAGTAAAAAATTAAGATATACTGTACATTAAAATTCTCACTGACAAGTGACAAATTATGTAAATATATCGTAGTATGCATTGTAGCATCGTATAGAATATTGTTCAACTCTAATATGTATTAATATAATATATAATTAAAGAATATAGATATACAGTATTCACAACATATACATGCCACTTAGTTATTTAATCAGTGAACCCAGACATATGGGATTTTAACCCATATTATTTCCTCTATTTTTATTTAATCTAAAGGTACCTTTACACTCTATTGTGTCGTCCATAATTTGTTGTGTTGTTTATTTGATTACATTACCTTGGTAGACATAATTAGAGCTTTGTTAGAGGTTAGCCAGTGTAATCTTTCATATGTTAAGCATTTGAATTGTAGTAATAATTGATAACCATTTGACCATTGTATCACTGAGACAATTGAATTGTAGAACAGCATAATAATAAGTTTGAAATCACAATGAACTTTGAATTTTTTTCATGGTGGTCTATATTTTTAACGCCATCATTGCGGAATGTATTTTTAAATATTTAATGTAAACATATTGAATAACAAAAATATGGTCTTTATTTTAAAAGAAGTATATTTAATACTTCTACAGACTTATTCACCTACATACTCAACCCTATTATAGCTCCTTATCCTACTGTATAATAATAAACTTATTATAATATTCTGATGTAGGTAATTTATAACTTTATAAGCATAATATTAAAGACCGTAATATATTCAAATATGTACATACTTTTTTTTATGCCATTTAAGGAGTATCCTGTGGCGATACAAACTTATTTTTTTCAAATATGCCTGCAGTAAAAATGAATGATTAAACTCTATGTATTATAAGAATAATTTTCCATGATAATAGATTTAAAAATAATATGGGACTTGAGCATATACTACCTAATATATTACCTAATTATATTCAATTGACTATTTGACTCAATAGTACATATAATATATATTTTATGTAAAACCATATAGTTCAAAATTGGAATGAATAGTCTTGAGGGATTAAAATTAATAATTATCCTTAGACCTTAGTAAAAATCTACGTCTAATAACTCAAAACTCCTAGTTGAAATTTAAATTTCAGCATCTTTGAAAAATCATTTATTAGAATAATGCAGAATAAGAAATTGAAGGTTCTCATTTGAAATATATTTTGAATCCCCCTAGACACTAATTCTTAAATGGTTTAGACATTTCAATTTCTAAATATTATAAGTTTACTAATTTCCTAAAGTCAGAATTTCAAAAACTGCATAGTAAATTGATAAAGTTTCACCTCGAAAATTATGAGTAAAAAATCTGGTTTTAAGTGCAATTTTCGGTGAATCACTTTAACTTAAAAGCTCTAAACTTTTAATGCTATCTAATGCTATTTAGTGATATATTACATATAGGAAGCTTATAAAAAAAAACCAATATTATTCAACATGGACTAT